TAGTTCATATGTCTAGTTACCATTGAATGTGTTGTGCATTGATTGTTTTGAATGAGAAAACCCCTTTTTTTACATGAAAAACTCGTGGATGTGGAAGTTCAAACCTACATTTGCAGTAGAATTAAATGAACTTTTGCAATTGTATAATGATATTGGTGAATTGGAAAATGCGAGCACTTCCAAGTTTGGATTTGGATTTAGATTTAATCTAAACTCCAATAGGGAATACACTGTCAAATCCATGACAAAGTTAATTGAGTCGATGCTTATTTTATATAGCGGGCAACCAATTTGTTGGTTAAAGATGATACCTCTAAAAGTACAATGCTTTATTTGGATAGCCTCGTTGTGCAGATTACTTGTGGCTGATGTCTTAATGTATAGGGGTATTAACATCCCTAATCCTCTTTGTCCTCTATGCAATAAGGTGAATGAAACAACTAATCATCTACTCATTACATGTGAATATGTTCGGGAAGTTATTGATCGGGTATTTAAATGTTGTTGTATCCAAACAGAGGCTTTGCAAACGTTAGAGACTTTATTGATTATGCGGCTGCTTGGGGAAACTGTCTTAGAAAGAAATCGATCCTAAATATGGTGTAACCTTGGTTGTAGAGATTGGGTCAACTGGCATATCTCACCCTTCTCTCATTTTCTATTGTAATTTTGGTTCATTTCTCTCTTTCCTTTGTATTGTTCTTTGCTCGCTTAGTTACTTGCTAACGGTGCCCTTATAATGAATATTTGTTGTTTCCAAAAAAAAAATTCGAAATTCCTAGGAGTAATGATTTTAAATTCAAGTTCCGAAAGAAAAAATTAATATTTTCAAATATTTTATCCTTACATATCTTTCTACTCGTATAAACTAATAACATACGGAGTTCATTAATTCTTCATTTGATCTCTTTCTAAAATTTGTCACTTGTTTTGATCTAATGAATAGAAATATAAATTAGAAGAAAATGTACGAGGATATTTGATTTCTCAGTGTTGCGATTTATGTCCAAAATAACAATTTAATTAATTAATATATTTTTCAATTAAACAATATCTAAAAAATTTATCTAACAGGTTATCAAAACGTTACATAATATTTGAAAATGTGGTCATTTTCAAGATAATATGATATTAATATAACTAAAAAGCAAAAAAATAACGTGGTATGTAGCAAGAATGTTTTGGGTCAATAATATTTCCATGTAAAATTCAGAACATGAATACGTGACACAACCCCCATTCAAAGCATGCATGGGCCCAACATATTATCACGTGGGGTAGTTGGAGCTGCTACGTTTGTACCCGACCCGATCCATTCTTAGAATTCCTATTCATCCCTACAAATAGAAGCCATACAAACCTCTTGAAACCTGCAATACGTCTTCTTCCTCCCTTGATAAACACAAAAACTCTGTAAAAACCCTGAAATGGCACCGGCATCAATGGAATGGAACGAAAACTCGTTGCATGAAAAAGGCTTCATTCGTGACGAGGATGAACGGCCGAAAGTGCCCCATAATAAGTTCAGCAACGAGATTCCGGTGATCTCACTGGAAGGTATCGATGATTTGGAAGGTAGTGATGGTGGTGTTAAATCTCGTAGGGCGGAGATTTGTGAGAAGATTGTGAAAGCCTGTGAGGATTGGGGGATCTTTCAGGTGGTGGATCATGGCGTAGACGCGAGACTGTTGTCGGAGATGACAAGGCTTGCAAGAGAGTTTTTCCAGTTGCCGGCGGAGGAGAAGCTCCGGTTTGATATGACCGGTGGGAAGAAAGGCGGGTTCATTGTTTCTAGCCATCTTCAGGTAATAATTATGTTTTTGTGTTTACAGATAATTAACTTTTTCTAAAAAAAAAAAAATCCAGATTTATTATTTTAATTATAACTTTTAAATACTTTTACTATTCAATTAATTCTTTTAGTTTAATTTTATGTTAAAAATAAGGTAAGGTATCGACATCGTTACAGAATCTCATTGAGAAGCACGTACGTAGTATGCAAACTTTAACATTCTTTGATATAGTAGAACTAACATGTAGATGTATGTTAATTAAGGTTTAGATAAATATATCAGTTAATATTTTAGCATATAACAAGTGGGGATGTCCTAGATTACAGGGATCAAAATTATAGCAAATGAAAATCATAAGTTACTGAGATTATTATTAAAGTTAAAAACTATAGAGACCAAATCTACAAATTCAAAATTATAGGGACTAAAACTATAACTATCTTAAATTAACAATACAGAAACCAAAAAACAAAAACCAAAACTGTAATTAATGTAAAGTATAAACTACTGGGGACCGAATGAATTATACAATTATTATAATTGTAATTAATGTTTTGATCTATTTAATAGTTAATGAAAAAGAATTATATTTTACTAACATATATTTGAAGTGTCTTTCGAATAATAACAATTGTAATGTTTTTAGATAGAGAGAGATGCGTACCTACATATGCACAAAATGTCCACTTAAAAAAAAAAAAAAAAAAAAAAAAACTTGCTATTCATCTAAACTTTGTCTATATGCGCATTTTGATTTTGATTTTTTTTAAAGATTTTTTCTGTCTGCTATGAATATGTATATATAGGTGCATGTGCTTATTTTTAGGAGTTTTTTTAATCAGTCTTTTAGGGAGGAGGGAGTCGTTCCCACTGAACCCATTGAACCCACTGTCATATCAGTTTTTCTCTTTGATTTTTCTTTATCTTTCCGAACCCACAACACACGGAAATCCTATCTTTCTCAACCCACTCAATTAAAAAAAATACAAAATAATCAAGGTAAAATCTTAATTAGCAATAGAGTTACCGCTGGTACCACTCCCTCTTCGGCGGATTGTTTAATTGGTTTCCTAACCCACTTCATCCTCTCTCTCTCTACTTTCTCTCTCATTTTCTCTTGTACCATGTGTTTTAAGACTTGTACCTTTGTTGTTTGGTATTTTTTTTAATTGGGTGGGTTGAGTGGGTTCAGAAAGATAGAATTTCCGTGTGTTGTGGGTTCGGAAAGATGAAGAAAAATCAAAGAGAAAATCTTATGTGGCAGCGGGTTCAGTGGATTCAGTGGGAACGACTCCCTCCTCCCTTATATCGATATGTATATAATGCACACGTAAATTTTGGTTGAAAATTTACATTGAGAAAAAAGTTCTTTAGTTTGCTTCCGGATTTAATTATCTATTGATCTTGCATCAATATATAAATATTTTTATAAAATTGGTAAAATTAAAAGAAAACACAACCTTATGGTTTAAATTGTAAACTCTTTTAGGTCTTATTCCAAAAAATTAATCAGAATGTTATATCTTATGAATCACTAATATATAAAGCATATATTATTATTGTATGTCAAAATTGTTGTGTACGAATCACTTTTCGTATTTTTCGTATTATTAGCTCAAGTTATTGGATGATTGTAATAATACTTTTAACATATTTATAAATAAAATTTAAAATTTTATTTCATAATTCTGATTTAGGTATTAAAGTTATTGTGATTTCCATGTCATTCAATACACTTGCCGTTGTTTATAAAATTCGTATGCAATTAGCGACTTGTTAACGTCATTCAGTATACATGTTGATAATGATATTCGTTCCTAATAAGTTGGAGTTAGTTACTATCATCCAATACACATGTTTTTAGATTCACAAGTTGATATTATTTTTGTTTTATAATGTATCAAAAAGCTTAGATACAAATTATAAAGTTCTTATCAAAACAATAAATTGATTCTCTTGGTCTTGAATGCTATAATATAAGGATATTGTAAACAGTTGAATCTATATATGGACTTTTAAAAATGTTTATTTACTTATTTATTTATTCATTTTAGCTAGTTTGGATTTTAAATTTAATATGGTGGATACCATCGTTACTTAATTTCTATCACCACCTCATATATAATGAGCTTCACAGATTTATAAAACTTGACATTATATTTGTATCTTTTAGATTTCAAATATAGTATAATACATGATACATAAATTATATCACATATATGGGGCTTTTGATGCATAATGTAGGGAGAAACTGTACGAGATTGGAGGGAGATTGTAACATACTTCTCATATCCAATAAAAGCAAGAGACTACTCAAGGTGGCCCAATAAGCCCGAAGACTGGAGGCTAGTGACAGAGGAATACAGTGAGGTGTTAATGGGCTTGGCGTGCAAACTACTTGAAATCTTGTCAGAGGCAATGGGCCTTGAGAAAGAGGCCTTAACTAAAGCATGTGTTGATATGGACCAAAAAGTAGTGGTGAATTACTATCCAAAGTGCCCTCAGCCCGACCTCACATTGGGCCTTAAGCGACATACCGATCCAGGAACAATTACATTGTTGCTTCAAGATCAGGTTGGAGGGCTCCAAGCGACCCATGATGGTGGCAAAAGTTGGATAACGGTCCAGCCTATTGAAGGTGCTTTTGTTGTCAATCTTGGTGATCATGGACATGTAAGTCCATACTGATGATTCTCTTTTCATGTATTTTTGGCTGAGAAATTATACATGTTATTTGATATGAACACAACTTCATTTTGGATCAGTATTTGAGCAACGGAAGGTTCAAGAATGCAGACCATCAGGCCGTTGTGAATTCAACAACCAGTCGGCTATCCATAGCGACGTTTCAAAACCCTGCTCCAGAGGCGACAGTTTATCCATTAAAGATCAACAAAGGAGAGAAATCGATTATGGAAAAACCTATAACTTTCGCTGACATGTACAAGACGAAGATGAGTGGAGACCTTGAGTTGGCTCGGCTCAAGAAGTTAGCCAAGGAAAAACAACAAAACTCGGAAAAATTGAAACCTGTCAAAAATATACATGTTTAAGAATTAAAATTTATGGCCTCTACCACCAATTATATGTAATGTATTTTTATATGTGTATTAGAGCATCTCCAATAAGAACTTATTTTAGGACTTACTACTATTTGTTTGAATTATTTATGTCTTATTATCATTGGAATATATTGAATGATCAATATACTTTCATGTTTAGTTTGTTTAACTCACTCATCTTCTAATCATATTTCTTTTTACCCCTTAATTGTATTTTACTTTAAATATTTTTAATTTATTTACTAGTTAGTTATTTCTATAAAATATTTAGTGACATTTTTTTTATGAAATATAAATTTATAACGATTATATAATCTTTTTAATCTTTTTTTATAACTATGCCGTAAATTTTTTCATATTGTACGTTTATAAAAAAAGGCCCGATATACTTTTATTTCTATTTTTGTTTGTTTGTGGCATTCAACATCTATAAAATATAATACGTGTTTAAAAATGACTAATTAAATAGAGGGAATTTTAAAGAGAATTTTAAATAGATAAGGATAGATTATGTAAAATTAAAAAAATAAAAAAAAAATTATCGTAATAGGTTATTTAATTATATATTAAAGTTAATGGAATGATGGAGTAACAATAATTTTGTAACACTCGGTCTTTGCAGGTATGCTTCTTTTACCGCTTTTATTGAAAAGCTTTAGGTTTTGGGTGGTTTGGTCATACGTGGGGCGTAGGATAGCCTCCTACGCAACACGTAAGAGGAAAGTACGGCACATAACTCAAATGCTCTACGTTGGGCATAGAGTTGGTTACGCTGGACGTAGCCGCGTGTTTGCAAAACCCTAATTTTCGGGGTTGTGACCCCTATTTAAGGTCTCTAACCCCTTAAGGGCCTTCTTATCATCAGCCTCCGCCCGTTGATGCACACCTCTCGAAACCCTAATTCCCTTGAGTGATATTTGAGGTCCTTGTGTGATATTTTGGTGCACTTTATAGAAGGAAGACCCAATTGTAGAAGACTTGGAGTGCTCAAGCTTGTGGATACATAACCTATTGGCTTTCATTTATCTCCAGAAGGTATAAAGTTTGTGCCTTTATGCTTCATTTGTTATATCTAGCTAGGTTCTTGATGTTTATGCCCTTTTTGTCCCATTACTTTGGTCCATTTGAGTGTGAGCTACTCTAGACCTTGTAGATTGCATTTTCAGACGTTATGAGGTTGTTAAGTCATAAAAATGGGATCTTGGCCACTTCCAACCTTCCATGCTTGAGTTTTTGGTCTTTAAAACTTGTCATGAGATCATGGTTTTTCCTTGAACCCTTGTAAGGCATTTAAATGCATAAATATTGGAACTTTATCACTTAGGATATTTATTAGGTCCATATATGAGAGTTGGACGTGGTGTATTTCTGTATTTAGCACTTAATGGAAGGATTTGGCATCAGCGCCCAACGTACGACGTAAATCAGGCTATGCATCGCGTAGCCCCCTTTCTGCCTGTTTTACCGCCATGTGCTCTACACGGGGCGTAGAGCATCTTGTACGCATGGCGTAGGTCAACTTGAGTTTGACCGTTGACTTTTTCCAGATTTGACTTTTGGTCAACAAAAGAGTTTTGAGGATTTTAGATTGAGAATGGGTTCCTGTTTATGTCATAGGTGACTCGTAGCGCTAGTCCTTGGGGTCGTGAGAGTTGTTGTGTTATTTGCTGGATTGAGATGTGACTTTTCTTCATTGTACTCATGGGTCGAAGGCACCAAGGCCGGCCCAATAGTTTGTGTTATGTATCCTTGAGTATAGGATGTTACTATGTTGTAGCAGTTTGCTAGTTTGGTAGATCTGTATGACTATTGTGTTACTGGTTTTGTTTATTGGTTGTGTATGTCGACATATTGTGGTTGGGTTGAGGCGGTCTTACTTTGTGCTGAAGGTCAAGATACCTAGGCGGTCTAGTTGATATTATAGGCAAAGGGAGCGGTCTAGGTTATATTATAGGCTCGAGAGCAGTCCAGTTTATTGTTGAAGGATCAGGTGGCGGTCTGGTATCATGTTGTTGGCCTTGTGTGCATGCATTGTTTTCTATTATGTGTGGGATATTTTGGGAAAGTCACGAAGGTTTGGCTTGCAGTTTGATTTCATGGTTTCAGGTACATCAGATGATCGGGGCAAAGCGATGGTGTAATTGTGAACATCATCCTTGGATATTATATTGAGAAATGTTTTGGATACTCTGATTTGATGAGTATGTTTTTTTTGGAAAAAATGTTTTGTATGACTTATGGATTACAAAAATGGTTTTGAAAATGAAAATTTTTACTATGATTTTGGGGATGTTACAAGTTGGTATCAGAGCCTTTGTTTGAGAGAATTGGCTGAACACTTGTGTGATTCCAGACTCAAACTAAGGATCTGCAAAATATTTTTCAAAATTAACTCTAAAATGATCAATGGAGGGGATACGATGTGCACAGTCAGCCCGATCCAGGAAAGTATTCCCCAAGATACCAACACTTGTTCTGTATATTGATGATATGATAGAATTACATTCTAGTTTCTAGTCTATGGATCTTTAGGAATTGCATGACAGAATTGCCTAATTTATGATGCATGATAGCCTAGGAGTATTTCTTGATATGCTATATAGATCTGACATTATTGTTGTGGTTGCTTAGTGTGTATGCATTATAGTTGTAGATAACTAAGATTTTATAGCCTGAGAATGTTTGATTTAGACTTATTTACTGTTCCTTGTATGGTTGTGGGCTTAGGGTAGAATCAAGTATTCGACTGTCAATCGAATCCAGTGTTATGTATGATTAGTATACACGAGCGATTGTAGGGTTAGTGAAAGTTTCATGCGTGAGTATGGTTTGTAGAAGGCCAACGTGAGTAATGATTAGCCACTCTCAAGAGAATAAGTATAGGATGTATGTGTGTCGTAGTTATTGGGCTTTGTGGTCGGGTGGTCTGTGGCAATTCTCTAAGACAAATATGGGTATGTGTGGAATGTAGTAAAGGACCGTACTACTAGAAGCACAAGTCCCGTACGCGCATCAAGGAAATCATGAAGCCCGAGGACTTAGTGATCCAGTAATGATTTAATCATATGAATTGTGGCTTTTTGATGTATTCCAATTTGTTTTTCAATATGGCGATCAATAGAGGTTCAAGATCAGGAGCCGACGACCCTGAGAGGCCAGGATTGATTGATGATAAGATTCATGAGATGATCACCACTCAGGTGACCATGGCTATTAGGGAGGCGATCCTAGGGATATTTGGGTCTATCAAGACCGTCATGATCGAGATGTTTGACGAGCGCTATGCTACCATCACTAAGGCTGCTGCTGCTACAGCCACCACCACCATTGCTGCTGCGGGAGTTCATGGGAGAGGGACGGTGCATTACCAAGACTTCAGCAACACGAAGCCCTCGAAGTTCGACGGGTTCAAGGACCCAATCGTGGCCATGAGGTGGATATCTGATGTAGAGGGTTTTTTATTCACATGCTCATGCCCAGAGGACCTGAAGGTCAAGTTCGTCTTGAACCTTCTTCGTTTGGGGGTGAAGGATTGGTGGCAGCTAGTAACCGGTTCTTATTCTCCTGCGGTGAGGGACATAGTGACTTGGTATCAGTTCCTTGATATGTTCTGTGCTGAGTACGTTCCGTTGGTAGAGAGGAAGAGGTTAGTCCAGGAGTATCTGTCGCTAAAGTAGACAACAGAGTCGGTGATGAAGATCACCAACATGTTTACTTAGATAACTCTTTTCTACCCCGAGTATGCTGCTTCGGAGCAGGTTCAGATGTCCTGCTACTTGAGCATGCTCAATATGGAGAATCGAGATTTTGTGTCGACCCAGAGGTATAATTCCCTCTCCGAGTTGCAGTCTTTCGCTCGGAGGAGGGAGATTGCAATTAAGACCCAGACGAGAGAGAAAAGGCAGACCCCAACTCAGTCACAGCCAGCAGCGAAGTGGTTCAAACCCGTTGATTCACTATCTAGAGGTCATAGGGGCCGCACTTATTCCAAGTACGGAAAGATGCAGGAGGGCGCATGTTGATCAACTGTTGGGTGCCACAAATGTGGCAAGGAGGGTCATTATGCGAGGGATTGTCATCAGGAGGCTCCGTTGTCGAGTACCAAGATTTGTTACCACTGTGATCAGGTTGGCCATGTGAAGGTCTACTGTCCCTTGCTCTCTGCCATACCAGTTCAGGCACCAGCCCCGACCACTCTTCGGATTACGGACGGACGCCAGGGGAGAGTTGAGGCCTCGAAGGCCAGGGGTCATTCTTTTCAGCTCACAATAGAGTTGTCCAGGACGGTGCCTGATGTTGTTACTGGTATGTATTCATTATTATTATGTTTAGTTATTTCATATATGCTTATGTTTGTATTTCTAATAAGTAGCTTCTTTGTGAATGCTTTGCCTGCTCTTATGATTTTTGACTCGGGTGCGAGCCGGTCTTTTGTATCCCAATCCTTCAGTAGGGATTTCGACATGACTCTTGGGGAGTTGGAGTGCCTATTGCGAGTTTCCATCACCAATGAACACATGGTTTCTACTTCAAGTGTCTTTCGGGATTTTTCTTTGGAGATATTCGGGGTGTCTTACCCGCTTGACTTGATTCCCATCCCTATGTAGGATGTATGCGTGATTGTAGGGATGGACTGGTTGAGCAGAGTTGGAGCCATGATCGACTGTGAGAGGCAGTTGGTGGTAGTTCGAACTCCAAGTGGGGGAGAACTGACTATTTATGGTGAGGATACCAGGGTTGGTTCAACTTTTTGTTCAGCTGCCAGAGCTCGACATTATCTTCAGCATCGGTGTTTAAGTTATATCACATACGTGGTCGATACTCGAGATGAGAGGAGAGTTTTGGTATCATATGTGCGAGTAGTCAGAGAGGTTCCAGATCTATTTCCGGAGGATTTACCCGGTGTGCCTCCCGTGAGACAGGTGGAGTTCAGGATCGATCTGATCCCTGGTGTGGCCCCAATTGCAAAGGTGTCGTATTGCCTCACACCACCATAAATGAAGGAGTTCTCATCTCAGCTTCAGGAGCTATTGGGCAAGCAGTTTATCAGACCGAGCAGTTCACCATGGGGAGCGCCGACTCTTTTTAT